TATCATTATTATTATATTATTAATATTATTATATTATATTAATATTAAAATATATTATATATATTATATAATTAATACATAATATATATTAATAATATATAATATAATTGTCCATTTTTGTGCACAATTCGGGCGTCAATTAGGGAGTCATTACTATAATACCTCGATATATCGAAGTTCACTTGATCTTCTCATAATTTTCAAAACCTACCCCTTTCTGTCGCCAAAAAGAAAACATAAAATCCGAGGTCTACCAATAAATGCACAAGCAAATCACAATTTTCGCGGGCCATCTGACAAAAGCAAGAACATAAAAATGAAAATCCAGAAGCTCCGCTTGTCAACTACAAACGTTCCCACGATAAATATAAATTAGCAATGCCATTAACGTTTATCAAAATAATTTCCAATTTCGTCCACGTTTGCAAGGCGGAACTGGCCGCAGCGCCGCGAGTCGGTGACTCGCAAACGACATCGCGAGTGACGCAACTTCGTGACATTCGTGGAAGAATTTTGGCGTACCGGTACACAATCCTGTGGCAGAGTCCAGTCGAAGGCAAACATACGTAACACTGCGAATCGAAAGGATGCTTCAAGTTCCGATCGCGTTCGATACGGTCACTCCTGCAGATCTTGTACCAAAAATTTGGCGTGCTTTCCACCTTCCCCCACTACCCTTTCTTTCGCTGGAACAGTTCCTTGACCCACTATAAAGATCCGCTGGAATCGGCCAAGATCATTTGTCGGTGGTGGGGAACTCGCGGCGCGAAGATCCGGAGCGTAATCGTGTTTATTCCGGCGAGAATACGCGACGGGAGTCTCAATGTACAAGTTCATTGGTTTTCCCCCGTCTTTGTATGGCGTCCCAGGATCGCTCGCACGTCGACGAACGTATTCCCCGTGTAATTAACGGGAAACACGACGGGAATCGGCGATTCCACTTTTTTCTTCTTCTCGTGCCTCGCTATTAATAACTGTACAAGTTTCTCCCGCGGCCGTCGCTTGTGATAAATCGTCCAGTAATCCTGCTATTTATGCTAATGGGAGTCGAACGACTCGAACACAAACTCCGCTAATATGTGTGTATATGTGTACAATTTGATATAGAATATTTCCTCTTACTGTACCTGCAATTTATATGTAAATTACGATAATGTAACGAATGCTTTATGTAGAAACCTGCTCGATTCTGTTGATAAAATAACTGAATTCGATAGCAATACTGTAACAATAGCAATAACAATATTCTCATGGGTTAAAACTTTCTTAGATTTCGCATCGTGGTTTATCGAATCCACGGAAAATCTGTAACGATAGCGATAACGATATTTTCACAGGTTAAAACTTTCTCTGATCTCGCGTTGTAATTTCATTAATAAGATTAAATTATGAAGCAGAACCATTGAGAATTATTAATTATTATTAATTAAATTAATTATTTTATATATTATATTTATTATTTATTTATTATTATTAATTAAATAATTATTAATTATCATCCTTGCTGTCCTGAAATAATTTCAGGCTTATCTCCGTCTATTTTTATCTCGATTATTTTCGTCTACTCGTTACTAGACTGCGGTTCTTTCTGCAAAATAAAAATTGTCCACGCGAATCCATACGAATTGTAAAAAATACGAGACGTATAGTCCGCCGCTCGCTGTTAAATAAATTAATGGTAATATTATTTTTATTAGTCCGAATTGAACGTTTTCCCAGTTGCACGAATCTCCAGCCGATTTAATAGACTCGTCTCGTCTTCCAAAACAACACAAACTCGAAAACATGTTTTCTCGGAATGAGATTTTATGATTTCGCTTGTGTGTTCGCGAAATATTTATTACCACTTTTTTTTTGTTCGAAACCTTCGCCTTTTGTTCTCGAAAGTCTGCGATTTCCGGCAAGGATCAACATTTTTGTAAAAAGAATCTTACATGTTTCCTCGGCAAATGTTACGCAAAAAGAAAAAAAGTAAAAAGCGATCGGAGAGTTTGTTCTAATGTAATCTGTAACGTAATACGCGAACAAGAACTTGATTGCATTGTGATAACATTCGCAGGAACGCTTGACTTCTGGAAATTGAAGTTTGTCTCGTCGAATGGAAAGAGAACTGTTGCCGCCACTGTAATTCGAAGTTAATGACTGCACACTACGGTACTTCTTATCGCAAATTGTCACTAATTCTGTGTTCTCTCAGTTTCCTCTTGTAATTGCGATTATACTTATTCTATAGGCGTCGTTATACAATAAATAATAAGCCACCGAAAATAGAATTTATCTGACCTTCGAGTCTCCATAATTTAAATAATATTTAGGTACAAATCTAATCATTCGCTTATAAGTTATTGTAATCAGTTTCCTCTTGTAATTGCGATTATACTTATTCTATAGGCGTCGTTATACAATAAATAATAAGCCACCGAAAATAGAATTTATCTGACTTTCGAGTCTCCATAATTTAAATAATATTTAGGTACAACTCTTAATCATCCGCTTATAAGTTATTATAATCAGTTTCCTCTTGTAATTGCGATTATACTTATTCTATAGGCGTCGTTATACGATAAATAATAAGCCACCGAAAATAGAATTTATCTGACTTTCGAGTCTCCATAATTTAAATAATATTTAGGTACAACTCTTAATCATCCGCTTATAAGTTATTATAATCAGTTTCCTCTTGTAATTGCGATTATACTTATTCTATAGGCGTCGTTATACAATAAATAATAAGCCACCGAAAATAGAATTTATCTGACCTTCGAGTCTCCATAATTTAAATAATATTTAGGTACAACTCTTAATCATCCGCTTATAAGTTATTATAGTCAGTTTCCTCTTGTAATTGCGATTATACTTATTCTATAGGCGTCGTTATACAATAAATAATAAGCCCCCGAAAATAGAATTTATCTGACTTTCGAGTCTCCATAATTTAAATAATATTTAGGTACAACTCTTAATCATCCGCTTATAAGTTATTATAGTCAGTTTCCTCTTGTAATTGCGATTATACTTATTCCATAGGCGTCGTTATACGATAAATGATAAGCCCCCGAAAATAAAATTTATCTGACCTCCGAGTCTCCATAATTTAAATAATATTTAGGTACAAATCTAATCATCCGCTTATAAGTTATTGTAATCAGTTTCCTCTTGTAATTGCGATTATACTTATTCCATAGGCGTCGTTATACGATAAATGATAAGCCCCCGAAAATAAAATTTATCTGACCTCCGAGTCTCCATAATTTAAATAATATTTAGGTACAACTCTTAATCATCCGCTTATAACGTTTTCAGGAATGTTAACTTCCCTTGGAATTATCAAGATTCGAGCGCATTATCTATACCGTAATTAACGCGCATCAAATATATTTATCTTATCCCGTGTAACGCGCTAACGACTGCAGTAACGATCTAATTATCTGATTATCGACAACGAAACCAAACGAAACGAACAAACTTTCCAAAGATACCGGAATATTTCGTCGATCCTTGCTTTCCATCGTAAAGCTTTAATCCTTCGTTAAGTGCCATCGGTGATTGCAAAGCGTCCGATAATTATACACGAGCTATTCGTCCGCGTTTAGTTTGCCATCGCCTACGATCATTTTCATTTCCATGACATTGCCATGTTCTCCTACGCACCGATTGCTCATCGTTCGATCGATGGCGCAGGATCGCTTCACCGTTTTAAATATTTGTACGATCATTTTCAGCTAAAGACCGTTCTTTTTCTTTTCCTTTTTCTTTTTCTTTAGAAGCAGCAACGGAACGCTCGACCGTTGCCATGATCAACGTTCGAACGTAACTTCATAATTATCACCGTAATCTAGAGTAGACCGGATAACAATAAAAAAATAAATAAAAATAATATATAATAAAATAATAAAATAATATATAATTAAAATAATAAAATAATATATATATATACATTATTTTTATTTTTATTTTTATTGTTATTCGGCCGGGTTACGTCAAGGTTATCCTGATATTTAAGATTAAAGTGAAATTAGCAAATTAGAATTGCAAATTTGATGTTTCAGAATATCTGAACCGAAGTCGAATATAATTTCAATCCGTGGATCATTAGCTTCGATGAATTAATATATATTATTTATATATTATAATATATATTATTATTTATAATATAATAATTATAAAGATAATTGTAATCATGTAATAAGTATAAAGATAATTATAAAGATTTTAGTATTATATGTAACTAAAATCTTTATCATTATCTTTATACTTATTACGTTACAATGATCTTTATAATTATTATATTATTATGATTATATTTATAATTATTATATTATTATGATCATATTTATAATTATATTATTACGATCATATATTTATAATTATTATATTATTATGATTATCTCTATAATTACTACATTATTCTATAAATCTTTATAATTATATATATATATATATATTACACTAAAACCGGGTCATTAATCATTCGCTGCCCCGATGACAAATAAACTAGCAACACTCACAAAGAAGACAAGACACGCACTTTCTGACCGAAGCACAATAGAGCATTCTCAATCCAGTCTCATTTGCTCATCGAGCCTCTAAAATTCCCCGAAACGTCACGAATTTCCCCAGGAACACCGGGCGTTTCGACAAAAATGAGATAGAGAATCGGACGATGCTTAGCCGATGAAAAAAAAAATACCAGGCGGTTCGCCGAAGTGATCAAGACCTTGATAGCGCCGGCTCGATCCTGTCCAGGAAAAGTTTTGTCTTTCCACAGCCGGGCGTTCTCCGCGTAGCACTGTTTTCGTTCGGAACACCCGGGGACCATTTTACGGTAATTAGGAAATCGAGTGGTCCCGCCGAAGAGCATAGTTTCCTGGAAGCCGTCGGTCCGTTTTTCTTCGAACGAAAACCGCGTAATGGAAGGGGACGACCGTCGCGTAGACCGCCGGTCAATAATTAGCCGACGTAAAATCCGCCGGTGTCTCGTATATAAGTTGGTTCACTCGTTCAAGAGCCTCAGTCGTTCTTGACTCTTCGACCACGGAGATTAGGGACCTCGTATGAACAGTTGGCGGCGCATAATCCCGAAAACTTTACACGTGCTTTGTCGACCGTAACGTAGAGGAGCAACATGAAGTTCTTGAAGTGTCTTGTGCCGGTGGTGTTACTGCTGTCTGCTGGAAACTGTAATCCAACACCCGGTGAGTCCTTCCTTCGAAATCGTCTCCGTTTAGTGCTCGAGGGAAACGGGCATTCATGCGAACGGTCTTCAAATTTGCATCCGCGGAACCAGAATTCGAATCTTCGGCGAACAGGATTCGCTTGGATCTCAATTCGGTCGGTCGCGATATCGGTAGTTTTTAGGTATCAGTCGAGTTTTAGTGAATAGACGAGGCTATTTGTGCTTGTCTACTTATGGTTACTCATGGCACGACCATTTGGATGCATCATGATTTCATAGACGCGCGCAGTAATGCACCGATAAATATTTCATTTCGTTTCGTCATCGTGTCCGTTATTGATACAGATTCAAGTGTAATTCTATTCGCGTTGGTTGAAATTCCTGTGTTTTAATTATTGGATAATGGTTAGTTAACTAAATAACGCGCATCGGAAGGCGATCTCGTTCTACACCTTGTACACAAAATTCGTGAACGTGTGGCGTATATCTTTCTTAAAACTCGATTCGAGTAGAATTGTTCAATGTTTAAAATATAACTCGGTTTTTATTATTATTAATTAACGCTATCGAGTACAATGAAGTGATAGCTATGTAACAATGTTCACGGATCCTTCGAACCTCGATTCAAGTCTCGATTAATTTGCTATATTTCATAACTGAACGTTTCAGGTCAGAAAAAATGCGACGGTCGCACAATATTACAATTATTTTACAACCGATTGAAAACTTTAACAGCTTTATTCGACTCCTAGGTTCGAAGGATCCGTGAACATTGTTACATAACTAGCGCTATCATTTAACTGTAGAAATCGATAAAAAAAAGACATCACTGAATTGAAATAGAAATTGAATCTCGATAACATAGCTGATACATTGATGAGTTAGAGCAGGAAAGAAACGATTTATTTGTCAAAGTTAACAGTTTTCATTCGACTATTGTTCAAATCTAGTATTCAACGGTAATAGAATACTTTCGTCAAAA